TTTTTTGGTCAACCTCTCGTATTTTCCTTCACTCCAGGTTCTGTATAACCTTGTTGGTCATGGTGAACGTGAGCGTAGATGAGGTGATTCACGTGCCGCACCGTCGCAATATCGGTCGTTTCAACCTCGTCGACAAGGTTCCGAAAAAGCTGATGATCTGTCCATCCACTCTGGTCACATGTCCCTACAAGTATAAGATCAAAAGTTCAAAAAATTAAACAACATAATCTATTTTATACATGAAGTATACTAAAACATGAAACATAAACTAGAAAAATTATATTCTATACATGAAATTTAGATAAATTCTATAAATTTATCAAGCTCGCAATTATACCTGACTCTAACACCTCTAGTGTGCTCCATAACCTGTGGGTCATGTCGACAGTAATCGGCACATCAAAATTGTGTGTAGCCCTTAGCTTACAGGCAGAAGGAAGTTCATGAGTGTATCTTAGTACACAGCTGCAGCGCGAGCAAACTTCATCGCTCAAGTCTCGCATCCGCTTAACCTCAGCATTCAATAAATTTAGACAGTGATGTGACACCTCAGTGTCAAAATCGCGAAAGGGAATCCATATACTGCACAATCTTCCTTAGTTTTGAAGACTCCAGCGTGCACCTGATAGTACATTACATAGCATTAAACCCAATGAAATTCATAATTAATGCATAATAACATAGTAAATATGTGTACTTTAATAAATGTACCTGACTTGAATCAGTTGAGACTTAATCTCCTTATCAACCTTCTCCCACACTATATAGAGCGAATCAGTCGACGTTTTAAGCCACTGCTTCAACACAGCGTGTGCACTCTCCACCCTACAAGAGGTTGTGTTACCAAAATGTGTTACCGAATTCGTCCACGCTTTAACAAACTTTTCCTTGTGGACTAACCATGTGTGCTCCACATATTGTAACACTCTATTAAACTTCGCGTACCGAACATACAGTTCACCTACGACAATGTTGTATTCATCCTCCGTATCCGCTTCGACAACCTTCTTTCACCTGCCGTGTGCGAACTTCTGAACGAAGTCCTTATTTTTTCCAAGGAGCCGATAGACTATGTCTTCCACATCCTTGTTGATGTGTCATGTGTAAAGTAAGTGGACAAATTCTTGAAAATTCCTTCGAATATGAGTCATCAAGCCCAACTCTTTGTCAGTGACAATGGCATTAAGATGTCCAACAGACCCTATCAGAAGTCTCAACATCCGTAGAACTCAGTCATAGTTGTACTCTTGTCCTTGATAATTGCATATGCAATTAAGAAGTTCTTGTCGCATAGCGTCATCCCAATAATTTCCACCAACGACATCTGGTACATGTGCAAATGAGAGTAACACGAGAAAACATAAAATCAAAAAACTTACTCAAACATACTAATTAAGATTCATACTAATTTGATATTTATAAAGTAACATACCTGTTGTTTTTGTACGTCGAATCTATACCGATGTACCAGTAATATGTCCGGAATATACTGACTGCTTGAGTATGCGACATGAAGAGATGTGTCAACTCCTATTTGTCCCGATCAACATCTGTAAGAACTATATTGTATGTATAAAAAAAATAAATTATATTTTTCTGTATAACAATAATTAAATTAATTTTTAATATTAATATTAAAATACAAAACTTTATCAATTAATATATTTATGTTTCAAGTAATTATATGATATAAGTTAGAAAAATTACTATAATATAATATATGTAAGCGCACAAGTAACAAGTGTCATTCTAAAATATATAATAATATATATTTTTTCTGTAAAAGAGTAATTAAATTTTAAAATAATTTTTTCATTTATTTTAAAAATTTAAGAATAATTTTTTTAACAAGCACCTGTGTAATGCACGTATGTTATACTAGTGGGATATTAAATTGAAATACACATGTAAGTATGTCCAAAATACTATAAAGTTATCATGTAACTATGTTCAAATTTATATCTATGCATATATTTTATTTTCTTGACCGAAATTTAATAACCATTCAGATTTATTTTATTTTACTACAACCTTGAACACATATCTATTAAGTTTTTATTGCTATAATTTATACCTAATGTGATAATTTATGAGTTTAATTACTAGCCTCTCATTTTTTATAGATTTAAATACTCTCCGTCACCCAACGCAGTCACCAGTGAAGGATGTGTTTGTGTTGGTGAAAGAAAATGTTGAGGGTCGCTGCTCGCAGGCTGTCATCCTCACTCAGAAGGCCATCGCAGGCCGCCGGTTCATCCTCCGGCTTTCCCAATCAATCCGTCGACGGAACTCATTTCTTCAATGACAGCCCAATTGACCCTTACCCCAATTTTCATTTCTCCTCCAGAGGTTCGTCTAATCCCTCACTCCTCCTATTTTAATGAACTCAGTGGGGTTTTACCTCGTACAGGAAATGGATGCCTGAATTTCATTTAATTGATTAATTCCTCTTACCTCTTTTCCAAATTTCGACTAATTGCATGGTTAGTTAACCTAAGAAAAAGCTACAATCTTTGTCTTTTGTTTCGCTTACAAATCGGAGCTATTTGTTAGAATTGAACTCGCACCTCTTGTGTCCTGGAGTTTCGGGACTCTACGATCATCTAACCTGCGGGAGTTCCTCTGTACAGCTAGTTGCTTTCTCCCTAGAACTATTTTAAACCCTGTTGCACTTGCACACATCCAATAGTATACACATTAAACTATGGCCTTAATTTAACATGGCTTGAATGTGATTCTTATATATAAATATTTGGTTGTGTTGTGTTGTGTTGGTACACCAGGTTTTGGTTGTAATTCCATTTCACCAAAGAATGAAGGGAAAAGGTCTATCCCTATCCCACCAACTGTAGCTGCTATGAGAAACCCTAGTCCAAAGATAGTTTACGACGAGCACAACCACGAGCGGTACGCCCCAGGTGATCCCAGTAAGCGTGCCTTTGCATATTTTGTCCTGACAGGTGGCAGATTCGTGTACGCTTCCTTGCTGCGCCTTGTTGTCCTCAAGTTCATCCTCAGCATGTCGGCCAGTAAGGATGTTCTGGCAATGGCTTCTCTGGAGGTTGATCTGTCGAGCATCGAGCCGGGGTCGACTGTCACGGTCAAGTGGCGAGGAAAGCCCGTCTTCATTAGGCACCGCAGTGAGGAAGACGTGAAGCTGGCCAACAGTGTCGAGATCGCCTCGCTGCGGGACCCACAGAAGGACTCAGAGAGGGTGAAGAATCCGGAATGGCTCGTGGTTGTTGGGGTCTGCACGCATTTGGGCTGCATCCCTTTGCCCAATGCTGGTGATTTCGGAGGGTGGTTTTGCCCCTGCCATGGCTCTCACTATGACGTATCCGGAAGAATTCGAAAGGGTCCAGCTCCGTACAATCTGGAAGTCCCCACCTATACTTTCTTGGACGAGAACAAGCTGTTGATCGGATGATGATGATGATGTTATTTAGTTCGTTTTTTAGTAGAAACCGAGGATTTGTAGCCATTGACTATTAGCCATCTGATCTGGGGCTAGCTCATGTTTTTATTGTATTAAGGTTTTGATGAAGGATGATGTTTGTTTGTCCACATCCTTTGGTTTAGTGATGAATTTGTGTTGTTGATAGGAATGTGGTTGAAGATTGTGAGAAATAAATATTGTTGGTAATTTGGGAGCTGAAAAAATCTACATGTGATTCTGCCTTGATGGATTTTTGTAGCAATTTTCATTGTGGCCCTCACACCAGCCTTTTGATAAAGATGACTTTTAGATGTGTTTTCTAATTTTATACAGTTTTTTTTCTTTTATTTTTTGGTTAAATTTATTTTGATGAGGATTCATTCAACCATAATTATGAAAAGTGTACAAAAATTTGTATTTTCAAATCACGTCAGAGGGCATTCTGGAACGACTTTGGTGACCTTTGGGCACTTGAAAATTGTGGAAAAATTCAAGAGCGAGATAACTCGAGGAAAGTAGTAAAGTATTTTTTTTTCTTCTTTTATTTTGTATTTGAAGTTCTGAGGGAGGTATTAATGATTGAATTGTTAATAATCTAGTTGTGATTCATGAATGAATTCTATATATAAATGTTGTGAAATGATGACAATACGAATTAAAGACGAGAAAATAAACAACACAAGATTTACGTGGTTCGGCAATGTGCCTACGTCTATGGAGAAAATAAACAACACAAGATTTACGTGGTTCGACAATGTGCCTAGCGGAGCGATCTTTTATTATTCTCAATCATTCAAATACATCAATACACCATGTATTTATATTATAACCCTACTAGGTATAAATTTACCTAAATATCCCGTACCGTACCGCGGGGGCTCCGTCCCCGCACTCCCAACCCAACTAATCGATCCAGCCCAAGAGAGGGCTGATGCCTCTTTCCATTGTCAATATATGAGTCATATCAACAATAAAATTAAGGAGGTAAAAGATAATGATGATCAACCATTAATCCACCAAAAGCTGGTTCACTAGTTCAATCGATTTATCAATTAGATTGGTAAAGGATTTTTTTGTCTTTTATAGTTCCCAAATCAAATGGCATGGTGTGTGCATGTACTATTATTTAATATATATATATATATTGTTTCTCTCTAGTAAAACAGTTGGACTCTTGGGCTTGGCCACAAAGATGCAATGGTCGATAAAGTGTCGCGTTCCCGTTGTAATTACGTATGAAAATTAAAACCAACCAACACGCTTCTTCTCTTCCTATCTTATTTTCTTCTGTCCAAAATAGAAAAGTAAAACGAGTCAGGTTCTCATTAGATTCAGATCAGTCGGTCGTTTCAAATTTTCAGCTCAAAAAATCTCTCTCGAGGCAACCAATCTCTGCTCCATTTTAATAATTCTTCGGTAAGATTTTGCTACAACTTCTCTCTAATTTAACTATGTGATTCCGATTTAACACCATTTCGATTTTACACAATGATGCTCATAATGCTATTCCGATGTATAAAATTTACATCATCGTTGGGCATTGAGTTGTATCTGAAGAAACAAATCATCTCCCTGTTGCTGCTGCTGCTGTCTCCTCCATTGTCATTGATCTTCACTTGCAATTTTTATTTTTTTTTCTTTGCATAATACCTCAATTTTTATTTGTTTAATCCGTGCCTCGCCTTTCCCTAATTACAATGCATTTAGAGATCAGCATAAAGTGCCCTCTTTTGTTGCCTAAAATTTTATTGTTTGATTCTTTAAAGAGGTTATATTACATATATCAACAACCACCTGGAGTTCCTTCTCTTGGGTGCTGGGTTTTGATGAACAAGCTGGAAGCTCCTTGGAAGTAATTCCCTCCATAATGGGTGTAAACGATCAGTGGCATTTACCATTTCAACCTCAATGATGAATGTTGTTGAATAGCCCCATTATTTCCTACAATACTTAATAAAACCAACCGCCTTCAGCAAAGCATTTTCTATGGGAGAGTGGGTTATTGGAGCATTCATCAACCTTTTTGGCAGCGTCGCCATCAACTTTGGCACTAATCTTCTTAAGCTGGGTCATGATGAGGTACATTAGTCTCCCAACTGTCTCACTTTTATTGCTTCCTCAGATGTGATTTAGGTTCTACTGCATTTCTTTGATAAGGTGCATCAGTGAATGAGTTATCTTCAGTTAGCCGGTCTTGTTTCCCTTGTCCTCTGGTTATAACCATTGCTAGACTTGCACAAGAGGCAAGGGCCTAATCTTGATATATATATATATATAGACAAAGGATGAAATTAAGAGCTAACAAAGACTGGTGGAGGAGAGGTTAGAAAAGAGAAAGATTGAAATGGCAAGATGATCAAATACTTCCCAGAGGAACCCTGCTAAACTACACTATATGTATTGCTATTGTTATTTTCTAAAGGTATTCTTAAAGTTGATTCATATTGACATTGTATATTTCCCTTAAGTTAATTCTTGCAATTTCATCGAATGCGATTCCACAACAGCATATACATTATATTTAAAGCTTATTAATGAGCTACCTTAAAAAATAATCCATCTATGTCATCTGGGATAGTAGCATTATAACTGTAAATATTATTATGATAGCTAGGTTTATTGAGTTCATTTTTTCTTTGTGACTGTAATGGGAAACTTAGTTGAAATCCGCACTTGCTGGATAAAAGTCTGGATCCACAGGTTATAGGTATGTCATGTTTTGAAATGTAAATGGTATTTTTTAAATCCTTACACAAATTAAGAAAAACATGGACGACATATTACTCTCACAGTCTCACTATTGTTGCTGATGCCTATGGTGTGTGCCAAAATGACTTTCACATGCATGCACCAACTGCCCACAGTGGTAGCTGCACCATATGCAACATAAAAAGCTGGAGTTATGTCAACTAGGGTTAGATTACATAATCACTTAAATATAGCATTTATTACTCCTCTAGATGAAGTCGTAGGATTTGTCTCTAAAGTCAACACAATTGTTAATGGCTTCAAAAATCCAAAGGGCCAGCTAATCATGTCTTGTTTTGTATGTTATGAGTTTTGTTCTTTCTGACAACCAAGAGATTTGTGTTACCGAATTCTATATTGATCATTGTTTCCTGGGTAAATGTTATTTTGATGTATGCAGTTCGAGTATCTTTTATTCATTTATTATTTATTATTAGTTCATATTCCAAGGCCTGAGCCCATGATTATGGTTAGTGCATGCAACCGAAATGAAGCTCATAAATTGCGTGGCTTATGGTTACTTTTGATGTATCATTAAGTATGTTTAAGAATTTTATTGTTGCAAAAGGTTTTCTCATTCTTTTCTGGTGTTAATATCTAGTGTTTTGTTCTGTGTTGTGCTTCCATTTGTAAATTGAGACTTTCACTAGTCCCTTTCTCATTTGAAAAATGAGTGCTCAAAACATGTAGAAGAAAAGAAACCTGCTAACTTTTCGTGATAAGCTCAACTTCTCTTTTGTAACGAGCTATCTTATCTATTAAATTTGCAGAGAGAGAAACAATCTATGGCTGACAGCGATGGGACAAATGGAAAAGCTGTAATGAAGCCTATTATATACTTCCACACGTGGAGAATTGGTAGATTAATTTGATTTTTCCTTTACTGAATAAATCATCAACTCTATTGATCTTTAAACTAACAATGTCAAGTAATCGGTTGCATTGTTAATACATGCAGGTATTCTTTTTTTTGTTTTCGGAAATTGTCTTAATTTTATTTCCTTTGGCTATGCTGCTCAGGTGAGAACATGGAGAAATTTTGATTTTGGGATGAACCATTTAAAGAAATCATATATGCTTTTATATATGTACTTCAACAATTTTTCTGAAGTACTGTTATTTTCGGAAGTTTGATTGGTATCTTGAGGAACACTTCTTTTTAATCTATGGTATCATCTTCTTCCGTCTTATTGATGTTTCTGTATTGTACTTCTGCTATTGGTTTTATCTGCAGTCCCTCCTTGCAGCTCTGGGATCTGTCCAGTTTGTGTCAAACATTGCATTTGCCTTCTTTGTGCTAAACAAAACTGTGACAGTCAAGTAAGTATGTTTAACCCTAAATTCACAAGCTTGAGTATACTAAACCATAACCAAGCAGTTCCTCTATTTATATCCCTTTTAAATGTATTTGCATTTCTCAAGATGCGTAATCTGATTATGCACAGAAACTTTTTGCAGAGTACTTGTTGCTACAGCCTTTATTGTTCTTGGAAACGTTTTCCTAGTCGCGTTTGGGAACCACCAGTCACCAGGTATCTCATCTTATATTGCCAGATTTTTTAACCATTTTCTAACACTTTCTGATATATAATTCAAGGGCATAACTTTGGAGAATAACCAGATGGTATAAACTTGGTATAGAAATCTTTATTTTGGAGATTGTCACTACAGTTTAAGAGCATCTTAATTGGATTGCTCTATCACAATGACATTTGACATAAAAATTCTTATGTGGCATCGTCGCATGTAGGATTTATAAAAGTTTTTTTTACATATAGAATGAATGCTGGACACCTTATGCTAATATATTCCTCACTTTCCTTTGTTTCTGACTCCTCCCCAAGCAATTCATATTCACAGCCGCCTTCCATGTGTCCTGCACTGTTGCATATCTTTCTAAACATGCTTTTATATATATATATTTTACATTATAATATTTTTCATAATTAATGTTATTGTTCATAAGAATCTGTGTTTCCAACAAATCCTCAATTATTAATTATATTTCTTTAATATGTTAAATCTATTTCAACCTATTATATGTATTTAAGATAATCAAATTTGTAACACTGGATTCCCTATTTCCATTTCTCTTAACAATGGATTTCGTATTTCCATTTAGTTAGCATAAATAGATTGAAAAATGTTTAACTTGAATTCAATATATAATTACCTGAAATGCTGCAGAGATTTCTAGTTCAATTTTGTGGATAATGTATCACAATCAATCTTTTCATGTGAGCGCCATCTTAGCTCTTTGGCTCATGCTTGAAGATCTTGGCATCATTATTCTGTGTCAGTTATTAATTACGCTTCATGATGTTTTCGTTAGTTGGAACTCATTTTAATTGTGTTTTCTCTTTTAACAGTTTACACAACTGAGCAGTTGGCAGAGAAGTATGGCAACACTACTTTCCTGGCTTACTGTCTGATTTTGGTTGTAGTTGTGATCTTGAATCATTCATTGTACAGGTGACTAAATCTTAGAAATAAAGCATCTATCCTATTACTTAGTGGTTTGAACGTTGATGGCTAATGCATTGTTTCACTGGTCGGTTTTGATTTTCGGAAAATATAGAAAAGGAGAACTGCTGCTAATTCTTCCAGGGAATGACGTGAAGCACTCTTGGCACATGCTTCTTCCACTTTCATACGCCATTGTTTCTGGTGCTGTTGGGTCATGTTCAGTGTTGTTTGCAAAGTCTCTGTGAGTTGTAATTACAGTATTTCTTAAGACTCTGATTTTGCTTCCCTCGAACCTAGATCATGTCAGTTTCTAATTCCTGTAACTTTTTGCAGATCAAATCTCTTGAGATTGTCGTTTTCAAGTGATTATCAGTTGCATAGTTGGTTCACGTACTCCACTGTCATATTGTTTTTCAGTACAGCTGGATTTTGGGTAATTAATCAAACATTTTTATTTCTTGAATCCAGTACTATGTTGTTGATATGAAGATTTATGTTTAATGGTTGGTATTGCCATGAATTTGCAGATGGCAAGGCTCAATGAAGGATTGTCACTGTTTGACGCAATACTTATTGTTCCCATGTTTCAGATTGTTTGGACATTTTTCTCCATTTGTACAGGATTTGTATATTTCCAGGAATATCAGGTAACTATCGACCTCAACTCAGGTTTTTTCTATTTTGCATCAGCCTTGTGGAAAATTGTATAGGGTTTGTTGTGTTGTCATCTGTCCACAGCACTCCCTCTCTACAAGGTCATCAAAGGTGCATAATGTTAGGTCTCATTATCTGAACTTATCTCTGAGTAGTATTGAGGTGGAACAGGTGATACAGCACAAGACCTAACAAATATTCTTGATAATACATTAAGGTGGCGATTAGATATGGAATAACTTCATTTTTGTTGGGCTGGACAAGATTTATCATTGAAGTTGCACGCGGATAGAAAAAATCAGAAATATTATTTATTCCCTCTCACTTTTGCCTCTCTCCGATCTCATCAAATAATTGAATGTATGTAATCGTCACCTTAGATAGTTTCATAAATGGAATGATTGTAGTCCCTTTTGTTCTGTTAAATGCCCGGATGTTACTAAGTACCTTGCCATATGGCACATGTTACTATGACAGTATTAATTAGATATAAGTTACTTCCAGTAACACATGTAGTTTTAGTTCCAGTCTAGTCACAAAAGTCATTGCCGATAATTGTGTAGAATAGGACGTCTTTTGAGCATTTTGTTATGGTTTTTATTATCACTTTTGAATCATTTTTTAGAACAACATGATTAATAACCTTTGTCCTTGGCAGGTATTTGATGCATTGCGAACTACGATGTTCATTCTAGGAATGATTTCTGTATTCATAGGCATTTCTTTGCTTGCTCCTGATGAATCGAGAGGTTTGTCAATGATCATAGATTGCTTTCACTTTTCAGTTGTGGCAATTTGTGAATAATACTGAACGAATAGGTGTTTTGCCAGGAGGAGAAATCAAAGATACAGCTTTGGATTCTTTAGCTGCAAGTCATGACAATGATGTGGACAGGTATGGCACAGGGAACTTTCATAGGTTTGTGCTGATATATGTGATTAAAGTACTATACCCAAAGTGGTGCATGTCGTGAGTAGATCAACTTCTATATTAATGAGTCAAAACAAAGTTTGATTGCTTCTATATTATTTACAGATCTGTCATGCCTTGCGAGGATTCACAAATGAAAGATATAGGATCACTTACGCGTAGGGTGCAGATGAAAGCCGCGAACATGATTGTTAAGATTAAGGTTTTGGCATTACTTTGTTTGATTTATTGAAATAGAGATGAATTTAAATAGTAATATGTGTAAAACTTGGTTTTGATGCAGGCTGCTTGTTCATTATCATTGGGTTTAGGAGAAGAATCAATTCACGCTTCATCAGTTCTTGCGATGCCCATGGTTTCTTCTAAAATAACTGGTTTTCGAGCCAATGGTTTGGACAGGAACAAGTTATTTGCGTATAGAGCCCCAGGCTGGAGTAGGATTGACGAGGATGGTGAGAAATTATTACAGACAACAATACTTGCGCAGAACATTAAGTAGGACTAGCCCACACATTAACATTCATCCCAGAGCGAGTTTTTCAGTTTTTTTGCATGTCCTGTTCTTATACTTTTGTAAAGTTCTGTCAAGTTCTCATTGTTTCCACTGTCTGGAAAAGCACACTAATCTTGTCTTACGTGGCAGAGTTTTTATTTCACTCTAAACTTTGAAAGCTTCCAAGTATAATGTGCCAAACTGAAGTTTGTTTCCTGCAGAGAACAAATTGTTAGTTGGTACTTAAATGAGAAAGCTTCACTTTGCTGTACTTTTTGCGTGCCTAGAACACACATAATGGTATTTCTGTGAGATGTACTGAGAAAAACTGGCGGATAGCTTGAGAAATAGATATCGGACTTTTTGTATATTTACAACAAAAATGCATAATGTAAAATTTGAAATTTCATACTATTATGTTAAAAGATTATGGCATTCCAGAAATATGCATATTTGTTAAAAGATTATGGCCCTACAATATTCTATAACTTGAATATCCTAAAAAGGTGGGTACTATAACTTTTGCTAGCCGTTTTCCCGAGCTCTATTAGCTAAATTTGATTAGCTAGCATTTTAAATCCTCAAGTAATAAACAGTTCCGAGCTCTATTAGCTAAATTTGATTAGCTAGCATGTCAAAGAAACTAAAATTAAATGTAATACATGACTGAACATAAGAAATCTACTTGGAATCATACTTTAAGACCTACTGCTGTTTTTCAGCCATAAATACACGAAATATACAAATACATTCTAAAAAATCTCGGATCTCACGCAAACCAAGCAAATGACTTATGAGTTAGGTCCAGTAACAAGTGATATGGTTGGCGGAAATGAAAGAGTAATAAAAGCCAAATAGTCGATGAAGGGGGGAAATGGCATTTCACTAATAGAATTAGCGAAGCTAAAATTAACAATCAGCCAGTGCTATAAGCTGATCAACCACACCAGGATCTGCAAGTGTGCTGATGTCCCCAAGCTCATCTAATTGCCTGGAAGCAATTTTCCTTAGAATCCGTCTCATTATCTTTCCGCTTCTTGTCTTTGGAAGACCAGGAGCCCAGTGGATTTTGTCGGGGGCTGCAAAGGCTCCAATCTGTAGACCAACACAAATGATTTGTAAGATAGAGCCTCTACATTTAAATGTCCACAACAAATAATGTTTGTCTAAATATGAAATGCAATTGTAATGTACAAGCTTATGAAACCACTTTTCTTGATGATCCTCTTTCACCATCCAACACCTCACATCATATTTTCCTAATAAGTTAATTTTTTTCCAAGATAAGAAAGCACAAAACAGGGCTGTGACACAAAGACCGATACTTATAAGTTTCAACTCGATGCAAAAGCTGCCTTCATGCAAAAAGCCTCCTGGGATACATTTACTAAAATGTTATACATAACTTTATGCAAAATTAAATGTTGAGTTGCCCTCTTCTCATAATTTCCACAACCCCACACGCTATAACTGAAGAACCTAACTCCGCCCATTCCTTGCAACTGTTCCTTAGTCAACCCTCAGAAGCACTAGCAGTTATTTGACTCAATACCACACCTACGCTTCCATCTTATCTCACTTTCTCAAAATTGTTTCATCTAACCAAATGGACACAGTAAATTCACATGATCCAGTACAACAACCAGCTAATTCATAATATACCTCTTACAGAACATAAGCCCAACTTGTTATACGACTCTACAGGATTAAAGGAGGCAGGAACAAATAATTGTGGCAATGTTTGGGATCCCTAGAGAGACTTTAACCGGATAAGAACGATGCCAATCTCCCCTATATATTAATTCAAAACGTGCTGAGCCTAAGTGGCAGGCTCGCACGCTTTGGAATCATACATGTCATGCAATAAATAATTTTTCCACCATACATTATTGCTTCTCATCAATCTCTCTTTCATTACCAAATTTGTTATCACACAAATCTTTATTTCCTTATTTTATTTACTAAGGATTTATATTTTTTTATTTTTTCAAGTTGACAAAATTTAGCCCATTTTTTAGTATGTGTCTTTGTTCGCATAATGAATAATGTATTATAATTATATGGATAATATAATTAATGAAGTCTTAACTAAACACGTCCCTTATCTTAATTATCATCATTTATCTTATTTTTCCAAGTTGATAAATTTTAACCCATTCATCATATTTTTTGTTATTTTTCCAAGTTGATAAATTTTAAGTAGAACTAAAGAAATTTTTGAGATTTTGAAATAAAATACCAAAGTAAAGTAGTTTTTGTTTTATGAAACTTTCATTTATTTATTTTGTATATATACTCGCAATAACTAAACTCCTTTACTTTTTTTATTCAAATTATTTTTTCATGCACCCGTGTAGTATACGGGTATCGTACTAGCTATACTTGTAAAGAGAAAGAAATTTAACATTCATGCTTAGACCAATTCAAACTTTAGGGTATCATCCATCATAATATTTTCCTCTTCACATGAACGATAGAGATCATAAATTTAGACACACCTGCTTTCTCACAGTCATTATAAGACTTTTCCGGAGATCATCACTGTAAGGAATGCCTTCGACCAAGGTAACAAATGCATATATCCCCTGTCCTTTAACCTAACATCACATTCAAATAAAGATGGCTAAAGCTCAATCTTGACATAGAAGTTCAAAGAAGTAGAAAATAAATGAGACACACCAATGAGAAAACAAGAAATTATATATAAAGGTACCTCATGCTCAACACCAACAACAGCAGCTTCAGCACACTGAGGATGCGAAACTAAGGCAGATTCCACTTCTGCAGTGCCAATCCGATGTCCACTGCATGTCCCAGTACAGACAATTATTTATAGGCTGATAAAAAGAACCTAACCAATGTAAACAAGAATAGCCTTGAGGCCCTCAGTATAACAAGTTAACAACTTCCTTTTCTTATTCTTTTCCCCAAAATCAGGTACAAAAACTGATTTGCTGCACTTTTGGTCTCTAATGTAAAATAATCACATGGAGATTCTTGTAATTTTTAACAAAAGGCACAAGTTCTCCCCCCACCAAAAAAAAAAAATCTGTCCATGACGTGTTGATGGGATCTTCGTGTGGGAAGGTGGGGGGAGTACCCGTTACCTTTTTTTTCCACCCTAGAAATCTATCACTGTTTTGATTCATGTAAAACCAGACCAACAGCACCACATCCCTATGTTAAACACTTAAAAGAAAGGCAGAGGAACTTAAGAGACATAGGTCCGACAAACTGAGTGGCGGGGTTGTGTGCCGTGGATAGGGAAGAGTGATATCGCGTGAAGCTATAAGGGTCAATCTCGAGCTATTAGCATATGAGAATAAATACCACCTGTATGAACCTCTAAACAAACCTGTAACTCCATCATATATCTGCAGTGGTGAGTTTGATTGTGGTAATCAACTTACTAGCATATGTGGTAGAAAAAAATGGAGAGACTGCAATGATTGGTGGCAATTATAAGCTACTATTTGATTTATGGGTGCCACTATAGCCCAGTGAGTGATCTATCAATAAGACAATCAACATCATATGCTTGCCTAAAATGTAACTTTTAGGTAAATAAAAAATTTGTGAACTGAACAATATCTCTCAAGGCTTTTAGAAATAAAAGTAAGGAAAGACAACCAAACAGTTGATCTGTAACATAAAAAGATGAAAAGCGGACAACAGTACCTGACATTTATAACATCGTCTACTCTACCTGTGAGCCAGTGGTAACCATCTTTATCCCTAAGTTACCAGAATAAATTAACATATGATTCAGAATATGGGGAATATGATGGAAATGATGTTTAAAAACTAATTCTAAGACTGAAGAACCAGAACCTCTTATTTCCCAAAAAAATACCTGCTGCAACCATCCCCAGTGAAATAGTAGCCAGGGAAGGCACTAAAGTATGTTGTTTCATATCTTTCATGATCCCCATAGAGCGTTCGAAATGCCCCCGGCCAAGAGCTTTTGACACACAAATAACCGCTGCACTCCCCTTCAATTTCAACACCTTTTTCATCCACTATGACAGGCTGCATATGCAAGTGAATTAGGCATCTGAAATGCTTTAATACGTAAAGCTTATACTGTTAAAAAGAGCCATTATAAAACAATCATGACCACCAAGGGATAGCTAGACATAAAGGGTGAAGATATTTATGTTTTGAACCAAAATCCAAATGCTTAAGTATCAACATCCTTAAATACAAATTAACAGGAATGGATGTTCGAAGGCTCTGAATTATATGGACATTATTTAAGGAGATCAAATCATAAGCTATTTTGTCTCACTTCACATTAGTTTTCTTGAAGATTTAAAAGTTCCATAATCTTAATGAGTAAGAAAGTCGTTTCTGAAATAAAGCAACTCTAAAGAAAAAAAACTCCAATATAAATATCCATTTAGGAGAGTTTTCGAGATTGATTTAATCTGATTAGTATAATGGATATGCATCTCAGTACCTGGACACCAAAGAAAGGAAAGGTAGCAGAACCTGGCTTCTGAGGCCAAGCACCTGGTAAAGGAGTGATCTGCAAGGTAGTAGAGTTAAATGCTATAGCAACTATTATTGTTGTTTCTGCATTATGATCAAAATGAACAAGACAAGCAAATGTACCATGAAGCCTCCAGTCTCTGTTTGCCACCAAGTGTCCGAAATGGGGCATCGTGAGTCTCCAACCAAATTGAAAAACCACCTGGTATAAAGAGAATGGAAAGACATGCATGAATATTTCAGCATTATGAGTGTCCAAGAATGCTAATAATAATACGATAAACAAAGCCTAGTTTTGAGGATGAATAACACCTCCATGCGCTTGGATTAATGGGTTCGCCCACACTGCCTAGGACTCGCAATGATTTCCGAGAATATCGGGTCACATACTGCAAGATCGATAATAAAATCAGGGTTTTATTCAAGCAAACAATCCACTGAGATTATGTGATACCATCTGGAGCATAGCTATGTTATTAGATCGAAATAATTTTTACAATATTGTGGATATAGGGACGTATACCACTAGTAGTAGTAACTTATAACAAAAAACACGCCATTGGTCCTACATCATAAAAACAGTGACAGGCCATCAAAAAGGACATGGTAGTTTATATATTACGGAATTAGACCTACCAAAAGATATACTGCATCAGAGCAGCTTAATTACCCCAGTCAATACTATGAATAAGTACTCAGATTTCATTCGCACAGGGCAAAAAACATGAGTGGAAGTCTAACAAACACATAGAGAATAAGAAGATAATGTTAAAGCCTGCTCTTGCACATAATTTCAAATCTGTGAACGTATAATTTAAGTGAAGTGATTCCTGGCTTCAAGTCTTTCAATAAAGTTCTTTCTAAATACGGAATTACCCTATGTTCACTATGCATATACATCTTCCTCTCATGTCATAGTACCTAATCAGTGATCAACTCACATGCGTGTCCAAAAAGATAAATGGTCGGAGAGAGAATATATATCCTTCTATATCAAATATTAACAAGTCACGACAGAAGAGAAAAAGTAACCGATCCAATATTCATTCCCAGGCAGTCCATGAAACAACAAAAAAGTAATGTTAAGAGTGTCTGACTCTTGCCTCATCTCCTTCACGCATCAAAGATCGCACTAATGTGGGAGCAGTGTAGAATATAGAAACCTTGTATTTGTCAACTATGTCCCAGCAACGTCCAGAATCAGGATAATTAGGGGCCTGCAAGGAATTAATATAAGACTACGAGATGAAAAGAGGATTATATCAGGCTGCTAACTAGTACATTTTTGCAGAATCACAATATTTGTAACAACGGATTAGGCTAATCAGAAATGATTACGTTCAGAGGCACCAATATTGCCTTTGTTGTAAATTATGTAATTATTTTGATAAAGTCCAAGTTCTGCATCTTACTTGCCATTATGTACTTATAGAACTACCATTCTAGAACGTTAAAACTGAATCAATGTAAGATAACTGATAAATTTGGTTCAAAGGTACTAAATAAAATACCCCTTCAAAAACCACTACTGTTGCTCCATTCAATAGGGGACCATATGTAACGTAGCTATGGCCAGTAATCCAACCACAATCAGCAGTGCACCTGAAAGATGAAAAATTGGACCAATTACAGAAGGGTCAGAATCTTCTATTGATTTACACATTAGATAATAACATGATAATAACATTAGGTAATATCATACCAGTATACGTCCGATTGCTTATAGTCAAATGCATATTTAAATGTGGTAGCAGTATACACCATGTATCCTCCAGTTGTATGCAACACTCCCTTCAAATTGCCAAAAATTAAATTTCAAAAGCAATTTGAAGCATAAGAGAAACTACAAAATATCTCATACTTCCAACTCTTAATACCTTGGGCTTTCCAGTACTCCCACTGGTATAAAGCATGAAAAGTGGATCTTCTGCATCAACCCATTCAACATCACAAGTAGCCGGATACTTAGGAACAACATCCTGAATGGAATGAGAACATGGTACTTACAGTTAGAAGAATAAATTTCATGTATCTAGAACTTCTAAACTGGGCTTCACTAAGACTAACTAAATAAAACTTAACGGGTTCTATTCAATAAAGTGGCTATGGATCAGATTTTATCTAGTCTCTGAGCTAATACACGTATGTGCACAGATAAATTCACAGTTTGGAAGTGATTTACATGCATCCATCACAGAGAACTCTACACTGCAGTCATATCTGACTGAGGCATAAAAGCCCCTAGTATAGCAATGCAAAATTGTTCAATACAAAAGCCCCTAGTATAACAAGGCAAAATGTTCAATACTGTTGAAAAAGTGTTCGATTCACAGTCACCACCTTTACACACCACTCGCAAGCTAGCAAGCACTTTCCCAGAAATACACTTATAACAAGCACATATCAATAATGCTGTTGTAATTCCACAATGTCCATATAGCCACCAAACATGCATGAAGAGGTTGCTTGAAATAGGGCAGAAAATAAAATATACATTAGAAACAAATGCAACTCCGTACATGCACAACTGGTTAATAAGTAAATATCACTCTTTCTGGAACAGTGTTGTTTTCCAATAATTTAGTAATCAAAAGTAGGATCATATATCAAGAAACTTGTGTTCAATATTATATTTCTTTTAAGTAGCTGTCTGTTCTTTTATTATAGTACAAAAGGCTTGAAAAAGACTGATGCTTTTTGTCATCTGACCTGCCACCATATATCTCTTCCGTCCACCCACTTCGTGTCTTCCTTCTTCAGAGCTGACTCATTTTCATAGGTCAAACACACATCTGGAAAGCAAATAAATGGTAAATACTACAATGAAAGATTAAAATAATTAAATGTTTTTAAAAGATTTGGGCCACAACACTGCCATACTCCTATATTATTCATACTCCAACGTAATGGAAATAAATTACAGTGCAGACAAACATTAACGTGTACTTTTAAGTTTTACCTACAACAGCCCCACTCTGAGCGGATTCTGCCAGTCCAGTGTCAACTATGTCTTTCAGATGGATAACCTTGGACCCTCTACGAACAGCATTGCAAGTTATTACAACTTTTGGCTTGCAATCCATGATTCTCTGGGCCAGAGACTCGGAAGAAAATCCAGCAAAAACTACCTAACACACATGAAACCAGTCTTGTTTTTTCCAATTCATGAAATAAAAAATTTGTGTGAACCTGTGTGTGCGTATGAAGATGCCAGAGTATTGCAGTGGGAATTACCGAATGAACAGCGCCGATGCGAGCACATGCAAGCATAGCTATGGGAAGTTCCGCCAGCATTGGTAGATAAATCAAAACAGCATCACCCTTCCGGATGCCAACTTCTTTCAAGTAATTAGCAAGCTGTCAGCAAAGAGAACATTAAAGATGTATTTGGTGACTGATTTACAAGTTGACAAGAAGGAATAGAGTGGGAGGAAGAGAAGAGGCAAATGGAGATTTACCTGGCAAACTCTGTGCAGGAGTTGATTGTAAGTCAAGGTAGCGTCGACACCAGGCTCGTTGCTTTCCCAGTAGATAGCAATCTTTTCACCATTCCCAGCAGCGATATGCGTATCCAAACAGTTGTAGCAGATGTTGGTAATGCCACCCTTGAACCACTGATCCAAAATAGAAGCAAATACTAGCAGTTAAGCAGAGAGGAGAATGAGTAGGAGAAGGGAATAAAAAGCATGGATGCTAACCTCGATGTTGATTTTCCCCTTGCGAAGGTCGAGATTCTCAGAGTAAACAGGATGACCCCATTTCTCTTTCCAGTAAAATTGGGAAGCAATATCGGACCAAAATCCAGCGGGGTCCTCAATAGACCTTTTGTACATCTCGAGATACTGCAATTGAGAAGAAGATAAGAGACAGGGAGAGGGTGTAAAAAATTACTTTACAGGTTGAGGGGAATGAAGATTATAGAAATAAGACATGCCTTGGCGGGAGAGGGAACGTGGGCCTGCGCGGCGAAATCCTGGCTTGGGATGACGAGATCATCTTCTTCGGAAGCAAGGGCCTCGCCGAGGATGACAGCATTCAATCTGGGAATTGCGCCGGCACCGGAGGGCAGAGTGGCCATGGACTCGACATGGCGCAGGTGATTGCAGGTGGTGAATGGAGCTGGAGATCCGTTACCCGCCATGGCCGTCGTCCGGAATCGAGCGGATCGGAGAGGACGAAGAGTAGTTGGAGAATGAGAGAAATGGTTGACTAAGCGGCAAGTTGTATTATCGCAGAGCTCGGGTAAAACGTGCTGGGATTCGGAATTATTATTTATACTGTTCTGATAATTGTAATTATTAATATTATTGGTGTTGTTGGTATTATTGTTATATGGAAGAAGAGAACACCGCAAAAGACTACGCCACCGCCGCCTCCTCTGATTTTCTCCTTTTTTAGAAGATGAAGAGAAACACGAGCTGCGTTTACTAATTATAATCATATCTGGCCTAATCCGACGCTCCTCTTTTATATAATAGAAAATGCTACTATTATTATCATTGTTACTCGTACAGCCGTTAAAGATGGAAAGATGATGAGAGGAAAATGAAGAGGAAGAAGAACAGCTTGAGGGCAAGAAGGCCATACTTAATCAGTTGCCACCACTCTGCAATTCCAATCTCTACAAACATAATAATAATAAAATACAATATATCATACTTTATTCAGCATTGTATAAGTGGTGGATCATTCATTGGCTTTCATCCGTCCGTCTGTCTATCATCTGTTAACTCTCGCCAGCCGTCGGATCACCGCTGCTCACTTCTCTTCCACGATCATTTCGAAGTTTTTTTCCCCCCTCAAATTATAGCATTTATAACTGAAAATAGAGTACATTGGATATATCAACTAACAAGACCAATTCAAACTCGGATTCACCTCGAGAATAGCCTACTAGGGAAATAGTCTACTACCAAAACACTATTATTAACATAGAGTAAAAACTTCTTCTACATCTAGGGGGCCTCCCGAGGCCGTCAGTGCAAGTCCTTCCACTGTCGCTGCTCTCACAATCACCAACGTCGCCCCTGCCGCACACGACGACGCCACTGCCATCCTCCCATCGCCGCCCTCACCATCGCCTACTCAACCTCCTCCCCCTGCCTATCCATCCTCCTCGTCGGTCTTCCTAGGACGTGCGTGACTGAGCCCATCAAGAAGCATCTAATTTGGCCCCCATCATTATCGGTGTTACTCTATTTTGCTTTGAAATTTCTCGACCTTCACTGACATTACATTCTCATCGTCCTTAGATTGAAATTAAGTTGATTAGGAGGAACTTGCTTGAGCAACGGATAGCTGGGGGGACGCGGGAATCGAGGATGAGGAGGATGGGGAATAGGCGGTGGCGGGGAGGGGGGGTGGAATTTGGGAGGAGGGAGGAGCAGTAGATGGGGCGGGTGGGAGGTCATGGGGTCGAAGCTACGGTCACGACGGAGGGGAGGAGGAGGGACCGAAAGAGGAGGTGGAGGACGTCGAAGATGAAGAAGATGACGATATGGTGATGATGGGGAGGAGAATGTAGGGGGTTGAGTGAATTTTTTGAAAGTTTAATAAGTCCCATAGACTTATCTACAATTTTTGGAAGTTTAAGTATATTGCAAAATAGTAAAGTGCACAATATTGTGTGTGTATATGCACATTAAAAGTCACAAAGTTATCGCTACGTCAACGCGCTACATAATGCACAATAGTGTGACGTACACATTAATGGTTATGAAATGCATACTAGCATAACCATGTGTTTAAATATCGTACCATTCAGTATTACCGGTAATACCTGATACCGGTTGTCTGATCGATATGGTAACCCTCTAAATACCAATTTTCTCAAATTATCGATTTATTCTAGGCCTGGGACCGGTCCGATTCCTAACATATTTTTCAAGAACCGGAACCGTAACCGAAAAAAATGTAACTGATTTGGTTAACACATAAATATTTGCAGGAACCGAAAAAGAACCAAACCGTTATAAAGAACCAAACCTTGTTATAACGGTTCGATTTTTTCGATTCTTTGGGTAACCAAAATGATAAAAAATAACCGAAAATAACTGGTTTTGAGTTAAGAACGGATCAAAAAGTGCAACTCACATACTAAAAGTATCATGAAAAACCGAGAACCGAAAGAAAAAAATGAGGAATAAAATATTACATACCAAGAACCGGAACCGTTTCATATATATAAACATACACAACATGCATATTTCACATATATACTCGGTTCCTCGGTTAATATACATACATTTGGAAATGAACCGGAAACCAGAACTGGTTTGTGCAAAAAATTACCGAAATCAATTTTTTTTTTTTAAATAATCGGACTGAACCGGTTATTTTCGGTTCGGTTCAGTTTGGTTCTCCTGTTCTCTGGTATAAAATCCCAACCCTAATTTATTTCGGTCTCATAACGGAAAATACCGGTTTTACCACTAAATACCGGCCCAAGTATCGGTTAAATTATCATATTAGAATAATAATAATAATATTATACATTTATTACTTTTTATAACAATTGGTTTTAATATGATTACGTAATTAATATATTTTAATTAATTATTGTATTTATTAAATATAGTTTTTTATATATTAGTATATTATAATAATAACTTTAATTCATTTTTATTAAAATCGATGAAATATGGGTAAATTCGGTTGAACCGCATACCGATGATTCGTACAGTATGATCGCCGATACAGTATTAAAACCCTGCGTGTAACAGCCTATTATGCACAATGACCAAAATACTCCGCGTTGAAAATCAAAAGTACACATAATTACAAGAATGTCACCATCCATCTGACCATTGTTTGAGCATTTGACCAGATCTCAAGCGTTGATATATATATATATATATATATGAATATCATTCAACCGCTACAATTATTTATTTCATTATTACACATTTTCATATGATCCTACTTATGTATATTAAAAAACTGTCTCAAATATGGATATGATATTTGGGAGTATGGTGAATTGATAAGAAGATAGTCAATGTAACAACTTAAAAAAAAATGGGAGTGTACGAGTGTGTTTTTTTTATAAATAAAGTAAATTCATACTCAAAATCTAATTTAACTTTAACACAACTCATTATCTTTAATATTATCAATATAATTAAATAATACATGTACAAGGTATTGACCGAACGGGGGGGAATTCGAGTTAGAACAGGAAGTTCTGTCCGAACTCATACTCGGAGGAGATATAAACTCAGGGGCGAACAGGACGCAAGGAGGTGTAGGTAGTCCTAATAAAACGAATGGATGTTCGTAAGTGGAGGTCTAGTGAAAGCTAATCATTTGCTTAGATCGCCCGTACTATATTCATTAATAGCGACGAGACGTGAAGATTTGCGATCCAATGGTATGAAACCCGCCGGGACACATGTAACAAGCTAGGAGCACCACCTACCTTGGGATAGGCATCATGCATTTAATGTTGAGTGGCCATAATATCTTTAAGATCTTAAACCCTAAACCCTAAAAATCCTAAACCCTAAAAACCCTAAACCCTAAAAATGTAAACAATAGTCCCGAAAAGAGGATGATAATGAGCTCCCCACTATCCTATAAAAGGAAGATGGGACAACATTTAATGCAAGGAGAATATTCTCTCATAAATGATATTAAAAAAGTCACGACTCACGAGTAGTTCATACATCCGTTTCAGATTCTTCACACAACTCTATTCGTGCAAATCGAACCGAGTACACATCTTAGTGTATAGTTCGAACTATTGTTGATTACATTTTCATACATCAACAATACCACTCAATTATTTATACACATCACAACAACTTTAATCACTACTCATCAAATCACATAATTTTAATTATTGCATAATTTTAACTAACTATCATTTCACATCATTTCTCTCTTATTCTTGCATCAGTTCAACTTTAATTATTTTAAATATTATTTTAATATAAATTCAAAATTCTATTAACAATTAACCACACCACATTTTTAAAAGCTAACATTAGTTAACAAAAGAAAAAACTCATTATAAACAGATATATTTGTATCCAAACAACTTCTAAATAATTTTTTAAGGGAAAATTACACTTTGCCTACCGAACTATCCGCGTTTTTACACTTTGCCCACTCAACTTTTTCCGGTGACATTTTACCCCTTGAACTTCACATTTTCTTGAACTTAACGACTTCCGGCCACCGAAGATGCAAAATCAAGGGCAAAGTGTAAAAACGCGAATAGTTCAGTCGGCAAAGTGTATTCGTGAAGACTAATTTGAGGTGTCTCCTAAGGTGTAAATGACGATTTTGCCCTTGATTTTGCATCTCCGGTGCCGGAAGTCGTTAAGTGCAAGAATATGTGAAATTCAAGGGGTAAAGTGTCACCGAAAAAAGTTGCCGGAAAAAGTTGATTGGACAAAGTGTAAAAACGCGGATAGTTCGATAAGCAAAGTGTAATTTTTCCTTTTTTTAAAACCAATTTTCCCAACAAAGGTTGTCCGGTCGGCCGAACCGGCCGGCTTTTGGTCCGTCCGGAACCGACGGCCGGACGGACCCCGGCCGGTCGCGAGCCGGCCGGACAAAAATCAATTTTTTTTTTTTTTTTTTTTTT